CCATGGGCCAGTGTGCTGCGTGTATGGGACATGTTCTTCTGTGAAGGTACGTACTATTCATAACCACACGCCGTGCTGTTTATAACTGAACTGTTTAACTACATTTAACTTTAGTTGGTGATGAATTATAACAATCTAAGAAAGCAGAAGTGTTTTCAGTAGTTTTATTTTTAATAAATGATGTGGTTTGAAATGTTTGACAGAAATCTGACTAAAGTCTCTCTCTCTAAGGGGTGAAGATAGTGTTTCGTGTGGGCCTGGTGTTACTGAAACAGATGCTTGGTTCTGTGGATAAACTTCGGGAACTACAAGGCATGTATGAAACCATGGAGCGTCTAAGGAACATCTCACCTGACACTATCAGAGAGGATATATTGGTACAGGAGGTGGGTCTCTTTTTCTTGGCTTCATAGACCATGTACATAAACAAAAGCTGCTTCTGTTTTTACTCAGCAACACGAGTTATGAGTCACTTTGTCCTGTAGTGCCCAGTCTAGTAAATCTTCACTTCCTCTGTCTGTCTCGCCCCTCGTCTGATGTGTCGTTCAGATTATCACGCTCCCAGTGACGGAGTCGCTCATAGAGAGGGAGTGCAGCGTCCAGGTGAAGAAGTGGCGGGAGTCCAGAGGGGAGCTGACACACCAGCCAGGCCGTCGCCTCCATGGCACGAGGGCCATCTTTGAGTACAAACGGCGTGCAGCCTCCATCAGCTCTGGTGGCAGCTTCTCTTTCCTGGGTAGCTCGATCCCTCCACCAGGACCCCTGAGGGCCTCTTCCAGCCTCCTCTCACTCCCTGGCTTCCGCAGGTCAAAGGCTCCTTTCCAGACTAAGAAGAGCTCCTTCTCAGGGCCATCCGGAATGGAGGGCCTGCATTACTCCCCACCTGCAGTTACATCAAGCCCGGGACGAGGCCCCAGCCATAAACCACCCATTCCCCCAGGGGCAGCTCAGAGGGCACCGGCAACCCATGTTCAGAGCCCCTTAGTTGGAGGTGCAGCTGGCTCCTCACGTGGGCCTGCTCAGGCCTCAGAAGACACCTCAGCACAGGGCCAGCCTACGGCTTCGGCCCCAGCGCAAAGCACAGCACCACCACCCAGCACTCTAGCCCCGTCCCCTAAGATTGTCTCTGAGCAAATTACTCCCACTATCCCCTCTCCCACTGCAAACAATGCCCCTCTGCCGCCATGCCCAGATTCCAAAAAAGAAGCGGCCCCAGCAGCTGATTCCACAACTGGAGAGGAAGAGGTGAAGAAGAAGAAGAAGAGCAAAGAAGACAAGAGGAAGGAAAAGGAAGACGAGAAGAAAAAACTGAAGGAAAAGAAGGAAAAGGAGAAGGTGGAAAAAGAGAGGCTCAGGAAGGAGAAAGAGAGGTTAGAAAAAGAGAAGAAGAAAGGGGGGAAGAAAAAGGACAAGGGGGGAGGAGACGCCGAGGACAAAAATGGAGCTACTGCAGCGAGAGATTCGGCCTAGTTTTCCACCCCGTCATTCCAGGATAATGAAAAGGGACACTGAACAAAAAAAGAGGTCAGGGGAACAAAAGACCCCCAGAAACGGAAAGAGTGATTGATTAAAAAAAAAATGTAAAAAATGGGATGGCTTCCTGTGTAATACATAATTTTGAAGACTTAATGTAGTCCCAGGACTATGGTGAAGAAAACTGGATCATGGTTTCAATAGCACCTCTGGGGGCTTTGTGCCCCTCACTCAATGCTTTCTTTTTCACAGACTTTAAGTAAGATGGGACAGATTTCCTTTTTGAACTTCAACTGGAGCATGGACTGTGAATCTTAATAATTTTCCAGAAGGTTACAGTCAATATCTCTTTTTAGTTTTTTTAAATTCTTTTTTTTGTTTTGTTTTGTTTCATTTTTATTATTTTAATCCGATTGATGGCAGTAGTTAGAGAAACATCGACTCAAGGGATTGTTAGATCGACGGCTTGCAGAAATAGTAATGGTGCCATAGAGTATGTAAATAAAAAAACCTACCTACAGTACATAGGATCCTCTTAGCACTCCGTATGCCCCGCCGGATCTCATCTGTGGACAGGTTATCTGGATTCCTGGAACAAAAAGAAAAGAAAACCCCTTCGAAGTAGTCTCGAACGCAGGCACTGAAGGCAGAAATGCTGGTAACGTTGAGGATGTATTTATTGTCATGTTAAATGTTGTGAGTGAGTGTGTGCCTTAGTAGTATAGTGAAATGTGTTACTGTTCTGTGTGTGCGCTCCCTGTTTTCTCCCTCTGCCTGCTTTTTTCTCTCAAGTCGAACCATTGAGTTATGTGCGGTTCTCCACAAATTCTTCTGTCATTGGAGTTAATCTGATGGGGGAAACGGAGGCTGGTCCACATAAAGAAAGAAAATTAAAAATACAACCAGACACCATGCAGCGGTGGCTATTCTTTGTTTGTTTATGACAAAACAACACACGGGGAGCATTTTATTGTTTTTTATTTCTGGCCTCAATTTCAGTCTTATGTGTCTGAGGTTGACTTTTGCAGAAAAGCGGGCACAACGTTATTGACAAACTGGACGTGTGAAAACATGCAATACTGAGTAGTGACCGTGCACAAGTCCCTGCAGGCCAGTTGTCCACCTGTAAAATTAGTATTATTCCGATGGACAATTTGCGTTTTTATTTAGCCAAATTTCAGCATGGGTAAGAACTTGTGTTCATTAACCCATTTTAGAATGTGATTTAAAGTATCTTAAGAGAATGAAGGATGATTTTTTTGCACTTGTGATTTTGTCACAAAGCACCACTGAAGTCGACCACTCCGTTAGTATGGTAACGTAGAAAACGAGAGTCTCATCGGGGCCGGTTTCAGAGGTTGAAACCCTTGCCTTGAGGACCTATAGGAAGCCACTTGACTGGAGGTGCCAGGTGTGCCAATGTAGCATTAACCTCTGATCTTTGACCTTTGGACTCTGATGTATTTATGTACAAAGTGGTTAATTTAATCAAATATAGTATATTATGAATTATTATTATTTTGAATCTTACTATTTTTCTATGTGAGTAAGAGACACCTGGTTGACTGGAACGATGGCTGACTACACTTTGTGTAGTTGCAGGGGGATCATTTAAGTGTTTATTTTTTAATTTCTTTCTTTTTCTTTTTTTTTTTCTTTCAGTCCTCCGCTTTTACACAACAAACTCGATTGCATGTCTTTGCTATTATTTAAGTTTACTGTCATTGTTGGTTTGGTCAACTAATAGGTTCACAAGTCTCCAGTTTACTGAAGTGCAGTATTAAACAGACGAGTGGAAAAAATGGGCCTCCGACAGAACAAACAGTGAGATGAGTGACTCAGACAGACGTTTTGGGAGTTGACGGTCTTAATCGTACTGTATAATATACTAAGAGGTGATTTATGAGCTTTGAATAGTTCTTTAATTCAAGATCTTACGTATGTCTGTTTCACCGAGTTGTGTTGTAACATTCATAATGACTTGCGGACTAACTCCCTAACCTATTTACACTCAGTGTTCTGTACTGTAAAATATTTATGCATACATTAAACTGCACTGAACCCCATCAGTATACGATGAATAGTGCCAGGTAGTTAGTGTAAAATCATTTGATGGCAAAAAAAAAAAAAATAGATGCTCTTTAACTGTACGGTTTTTGTAGTTAAGGATTAGAGGGACTTTTGTGTCATTGTAGCCAACATGTCCTCCATATTCATTGTTTTCACGCATTTCAGGTCTTTACATGGCTGTCGTGCAAATATATAAATACCACACCCTCTCCCTCCTCTATTTTGACGCCAGTGCAGTTATAGGCACAGATTAGTGTAGTGTTAGCGAGGATAAAACTGAATACATCTATGCAAACCATCCTCCATAATGACTGTTTGTAGTGTGTGGCGCAGCAGCACTGATCCTTACGATCAGATCGGCGCCATTGGGGAAAAAAATGAAATTTGTGCATCAGTAGGTCTTTTTCTGAGCACTCCTTTCAGGCCCGTGGACGACAATATTTTATGAGCAATACGTCCTTGCAGCTCATGTCTTGAAAATAATGTCATTTCTCTTTGTTCAGAGGGCTCAAGATGTCGTGAAGATCAAATTAATCTCTCGCAAGCTTGTGATTTTCCCCCCCGTGGAAACAGCACTTACCTCTGCAATATCGAGGACGAATGGAGAAATTGGTTTCTACCTGGTCCTTTGTGCATTTCTGCATTGATCCACAATTTGTTGTTCTGGAGTACATTTTATTGGGAATGAGCTCACTGATGCAAATATTTAAAGAAGCATTTCAGCTGTTTTCTCTCCCCCATACCGTTATGTCCTTTTTGTGTTTTTAAGTTTACATGTCACTCTCTGGCGAAAGTGAAATAAAATCATAGCTAATTGAATTCATTCCTTCAGATCTACAACTGATGTATTTAATTGATGATGATAATGACATTTGTGATGAGTAATAAACCATAATATATTAAACATCATGGTGTTTGTGTCTTTCTTGGTGTTTGGTCTCTTTTGAATTTGTGCTTATCCTGATAGATTCATAATAGTGATGAAGAATTCAACCTTAAGACCATGTTGTGTCTTATGCAACTGTTGATCATATTGATTTACATAACCATTTATGGGAAAGTCAGCTGCTATAATAGAAGTGATTTGGTCATTTCTATTAATGCAATATTGAATAGGCTGATCTTTTTGGACTATTTTTATCGTTTAGACTCCTATTTGTACATGCAGCTGTAAAGAAACTCCACTAGATGTCACTAGATATGTATTTATGATGGATTTTGCTGCATCACCAGACTTTGTTTCCTCCATCGAACCCTGTCCCCACAGAGCCAACTGAACAGAGACACTATTGTACAAAAAGGAAAGCGATTTTATTCACAGTTTGTCCCTTTTATTCATTACAGAGGAAAGGCGAGGAAGTGTCCAGGCACTGAAGTTGAGACAGCTTATGGAAAAAAAAAGATGATTTATTTGGTTGCAGGAGGGAGTGGAGGAAAAGAAGTCGAAGATTTGAATGTTTTCTTTCGACCTTTTCTCTCCTCTCCTTCAGCCTTTTTTTTTTTTTTGTCGTTAACTTTTCAAAGGGGAAAAAGTTGTCGTCGCTTTAAGGAGGCAACTTTTTCCTTTTCAACCTGCAAATTGTCTCCTTTCCTCTCACCTACCCCCACCCAAGAGGACATCTTCAAAATTTGGAATGAGGTCCTCGTGTGTTTTGTGTGTGCAGTAAACCTGTCTTCCCCTCAGATACTGAAGGAAACATAGGGACACATTCTCATACACACCTCAAAGGCTGAAGTTACAGGCCGGGGCAGAGATAAAGAGGTGAGAAGATGGAAGATGGTTGCGAGGAAAGAAAAAGGTGTTATGAGAAAAGCTTGTGGATGGAAATGATGTTACAGGATAATTTTTATTGAAACTCACCCCTATTCCCCATAAGCAAACATAGACATCCCATGTGACATCCGCACTCTCATGTGTCAGTGTGACAAGTCTTTGGTTTGAACATGAGTGGCCGAGCACATGGGTTTTACACAAAAGGTGAGCGGGGGGAAGAGGAGGAAAGAAAAGGGCAGGGAAGGCAGAATAGCAAGGGATTGCTGTTTTTCTTGTCTTCTAGCTTTCTCTTTACTCCTCCTTCTCCTCTCCGTGTGTGATGACGTAGCAGATGTTCTTGTAGTCTACGTTGCCAGCAACATCTGGGGGGAAGGCGGACCACATGTTCTTAATCTGAGGGAGAAGATGAGGGTTGGAAATTTAGCATGGCAGGGGATGTACTACCTCACTCATTGGTCATGTTAGCGCACACTTTAAAGGCAACCTACTGGACCAAATTAAGGACTGAACCCAGGTTAAAAGTTTTGACAACTAATCATTATTTGCTCAAATAATATAGAATAGAAACTAGTCTAAAAAGGAGCAACACCTTGGATTTATATTATAGTGGGGGAATAAGGGGGAGACCCTCTCAGAAAATGGGATAAATGGATCACCAAACAATGTTAAAGAAACTTTAAAAAGCAAATCTGTGTTGCAGGTGGATGAATGGCTCTATATACTGAGTATATATTGAGGTATCAGTAGGCAATGACACCAAGGAGCCAGTCTGCCAAAAACATGTAGTATTCCTTTAACAGGTTTCTGATTTTACCTCTTCTGGGCTGAACCTGTCACACTGAGTGGTCAGCAGCTCCTGAAGGCTGGAATGGGCAAAGAGACAGATTTTATTGAGTCATCCAATTTGAATTCATCCTATTTAGACATATGGGGTGAACGTCATGAGTCATTGGTGCTCACAATTCCTTCTTGATGCTTCCAGTACCCTCGGGGTCCAGGACCTTAAAGGCGGTAAGAATAACGTCCTCGGGGTCAGCACCTTGGGAGGACATGAGGAAGAGGTTAGTTAACCTTTCACGCTGATTGACAGCAGTGGAAGTAGCATTTAAAACTGGAGTTCGCAAAAAACACACTATAAAAATAGTCCATTTTATAAAAAATGTTATCTAAAATACAGTATATACAGCACCAATCAGTGCTATATTATTAAATAAAACTTGCCAAACACAACAATTTGTGAGTGACAGTTGGTAAAAAAACAAGATGCCCACCCTTCAGCTTCTCTCCAAACATGGTGAGGAAGACGGTGAAGTTGATGGGGCCGCTGGCCTCCTTGATCATGGCCTCAAGCTCCTCATTCTTCACGTTCAGTTGGCCTGAACAGCCGGAAAATACAGATTAGTACAAGAGACCTCGGAAACACACATAGTCACACGTGCTTTTTTCCACTGTACATTTATCCCACCACCACTCACCCATTGAAGCCAGCACGTCCCTCAGGTCATCTTTGCTGATGATACCATCTCTGTTCTGGTCAATGATTGTGAAAGCCTATAAAGAGGAGAAGCAGAGTAGGTTTATTACTCGAAGGAAGCACATAAGGCAGATGGGGTGAGGGCATGCAAGCCGTGCGGATGGACGGGGTGAGACCTCTTCACACTTTAACGGACTCCTCGGTCAACAGTTTGTCCATTAACGTGACAGCTGGTGAGTATCTCTGGCGCAGTGCTGTTCAAATGTTAGGGGATATTGTGCAAGAAAAAGGCTATCCCCAGATAGCCAGACCTAACTGTAGTGGCCTTCAAGTTGGGGGGGTCACTGGTGGGGGTGCATAAGTTGGCTGTGAGTCTTTTCTTACATGTTAATCTGGGAAAGTATCATTAGGGAACAGCTGTCTGATTTGCTCACCCCGTGCAGCTTACACCTATGAAACTTAAGATAACCCCTTGGACTTGAACTTGAACTTAGTCACCGACCTTTCTCATCAC